AGCCTGCAGCAAGAGGGAAGTTAACAAGCTGGAGGAACAAGTTCAGGGCTAATCCCTAGAGAGACCCTGTTGAGCTGTGTGGGGCTTTTCCATGTCTTCCCTTGATACCAGTCCTGAATTGTTAGTGCAAGTGCACATTGAGGCCTTCTAACCAAGGACTGGATCAATCCCAGAGCAAAGAGAGGACATTGCTATGTATAAGGGGAGGAGGGAGAGAAGGAGCCTGAGTCACAGGCAGTTAACCCCCAAACCTGAGTTTGATGTTACATCTGAACCAAGACTGCCGGCCTTTAATTGTGCTTCCCAACAACATTTATTGAAAGCATATTTTATGGTAATGAAGTTTCTGTTAACTATGATTAAGCTTATAAAAACACCTGAAGATAATTTAAGAAGTGCAGAAGCACAAAATGAAACATTTTTGTTTAATGCATTAGGAATCATAATTGATTAAATTATCTCATTTGCAATAAAGTTTTGTGCAAGCTGTGCAGAGCACACATTTCCTCTGGTTTGTTATTCATTTTCTAGCAGATAGCAACAATTACTCTCAGTTCTCACAAGCTCTCTGTCTCCTTCCCCCTCTGCAACCTTTTATTCTTGCCAGCCAAAGAAAGCTACTTCCCTATTCAGCTCTTCCTTTGGAGAAGTCCTAACATGCAGGGGACACACTTCTGAGTCAGAGAGAATTATATATAAGGCTATTTACTCCAATTGGTTGTTTCTCAATTATCTTAATAATTGACTTTGATTTTGCATCAATGATGACTCATACGGTCTTAAACTTAATGTCCATTCCATTCAGCAGCAAGCAGCAAGCTGTATCTATATAACACATCTCTAATCTCCCCATTTAAAATAAATCGTTTCATTCCCCAGAGAATTAAAGGCAGTAAAATCGACCTCAGTGGTTTGGCTGGCCCTCTTTAAGGATGCAATCACAATGCCAGAAATGAGGTGATTAAAAAAAAAGCATGGTCAGACAGACAATCAGAGGAATTGCCTAGCTGCCAAACTCATAGAAGGGACCCAAAACATCCAAGCTCATGTGTATCTTTTGCAGACAGTGGCTTTCAGTTTGTTTGTTTGTTTGTTTGTGATTAGACACTTGTGAACCAGGTAATCTAGGCAGAAATCCTAGCTGTTGGAACTTCATTCATGTTCACTGGAAACTGGAACATTAAATGCATCTAATTTTATGAACTCATTCAAATATACAGCATAGTGTATTGGGGATGCTTGAGGCATGACATAAGTAAAAACAAGTACAAAACAAGCTTTTCAAAACCATACAAATACAAAGTGAAAGACTGAGGGCAGGGGAAGCTGTCAGCCAACCTCAAGCAAGATAGTCAGGGCAAGAAAGGCCTGCCTGAAAGTAGGGCTTCCTGTTTGGAAATGCCAATTGTGGTGCCAGTCCAGTAAACAGAACCATTTATTGCTTACGGATATGTGTCAAACTTTGCATAATGTTGATGGATTCCAAGCAGATTCCATGAATGCTAGGTATAGAGGAACAAAAAGAAGTTGGAGATTCTAGGATTCTCCAAGCACAGTCTTGCCACTCATCCTGTGTCTCATTCCTGTTCATTCTTGTAGTTCCTTCTCACTTTGTATGGATGGAACTTTTGAGCAAATGAAGTGATCAACTGGGAGATTTTCAAAAATTTTCACTAATCTATGCATATTTCCCAATATGGACAAAATATTTCTCCAGGCTAATGCAGGAAGAAACTTCATTAATTAAAAATGAGCAAATGCAATCTGCTAAGGAAACCCATGTAAGTTTGGACACTTGTGCAACTGGAACTGGAAATCAGAAAGGAGTCCAAGATGAGCACTTGCTTCCACTTGCTACCATTTCTGGCAGGTGTGTGTATGTCCTCAGGGCTTCATGTCTTTTGCACGCGAAGATTAAATTTGTCTATGTTCCTAAGACACAATTTTATGCTTGCTATTAGAGAAAGAGAGAGAGAGTGAGCAATTATGCAATGGACCCATTTTGTTCATGTCTCAAGACAGGTGCCTATTGTGGATTATACTTTGTGTTAAATGCCATTATTTCTATACACCAGCAAAAATGTACACAGGGTGAATGGAGAAGGAATGGAGGAGCAACCAAGTTAGGTTAGGGATTTTCCTTCTGCCCCCTGGTCTGTGGCACGTGTTTGCACAAAGAAAGGAGTTGTAATGAAAAACAAGCCTGGTATATGGATTACAAGATGTTTGTTCTGGGACTAGATCATTCTTCTGCTATATCGACAGACATGAGTACTCCAGAACACCAGTGAGAACCTGCTGAAGGATACATTCCTTTATGGGAACGCTGCATAAAAGAAAGCACTGCGCAGCAGAATCCCCAAATTTACCATGATGCAGCTAGACCAAACATCTCCTTTTATAGCTATTATTAGCCCATCACGATCATCCAGATGTTCTGAGGTGATTGTACTCTTTCCGGTGTGAGATCGACCCTACCTCCTGGGAAGAGGGTCGACTGAGAACATGGTGTGAGAGCAAGTGGTTAAATGGACCTCCCTCAGTGCTGCCATGCAATCTGTACATATGACTAATTAGAGGTAACTAGCAAAATAGAAGTTATTTTCCACTGATGAATAAGCCAATGATTGATTGTGTTATATCTGTTTCATCCAGAAGCAGGGATGTATGAGAATTTCATTTCAATCCATAAATCTTACAGATATAGTCCAAATGCAAACTCAAATGGGAATGTATATTCTGCAAACTGCTGTTTCTGTTGAGAAATGCACACTTTAAGAAATCTGCATTTTCACACTTTGAAAAATATACATTTCCTTTTTGAATACTGAACTTTCCCTATTTGAAGGGAAAATGGAATACAGGCTGAGCTTTGGAGTGGAGTTCATCTCTGATTCTCCCATACTTAGCCATAAGTCAACACAGAGAAATAAAAGCATTGTTTGATCCACTGCAACATTGTTTGATCTGCTGCAATTGATACATTGATCAGCCATGTAACATTATTTAGAAGTAAGTTTGGACACAGAGATGGCTGAGGATTTCAGTTGGGCTCATTTACTTTACCCAAATTGGTACAGACATTGAAACTTACTGTGTAAATATAACACCTGCAAAACTGGCATTCACTGGGAATTAACTCTCTCAGCTATCCCTACTTTTGACAACAATCATAACAGAGTTTATCTATAGTTAGGATGAACCCATCTATCATTTCAGGTTTACATTTTCGCATCAATGGGGACAAAATCCAATGGACACTTGTGCTCCTGGCAATTTACTTCTACCCCAGCAGTTCCATTGCCCAACACAAATTTAATGTTTCAGGGGCAAATGAAGCAACAGGAAATCTCATGGAAGGGGACAGATCAGCAGAGCTCACAAAAAGGAAATCTGCCACTTGCCTTTTTACAGAAATGAGTGTTTTGGGGATACTGTGCAGGAAGCACTAAATTGCTTTTGTGTAAGTGATGGCAGGATCTATCACTTCCAGAATGGAATTGGCAAGGAAAAAATCTAATGCCCTAGTAGAGTCTGCTCAAAGTTGATTTTTGACCCATTTTGGCATCATTTGCCAACTGTTTGAAAAGAAAAAGGTCTACACAAACATACATCCATAGATCCATACATATTTTTCTAATATGTTGTTGCGCATAATCATGTCTAACATCACTGGAAGTTAGTGGCCCCAATGTCAGTGTGCCTTTACCCACTTGGATTTTACTCTAAACTTTAAAGGAGTTGTGCATGGTCCCAAACCCTTTCTCCGAAGTAGTTTCAGCACCATGGATAGCTCATTTAATGTTCAGAGTACAATCCAGTATTGTCAGTAGCCGCTGGCTTCTACTGTCTAACATTCACATTTTCCCCCCATATATACATTTTTGGCACACTTCCTCCTTAATACATGAATTTAACATGCTTTTCTTCTTCATTAGAGACTCTCATTACAAAGTTAGGAAATGTGTGAATATTAAACTATAACTGTAGTTGGGTTAGAAAGTGAGGATTGAGTAACTTCACACTGACATGGAAACCGGAATGAATTTCTTCCCCCAAACTTCCTTTCCTATATGCTCCACATTTGTGCAAATATGAGAGTGGGAACCAATCACCACTTTACTCACAATATCAACATGACCACAGTAGAGGAGAAGCATTCTATTCTTTTAGAATAGCAGGGGTAGTGGGAGCTGTGAAACTGTCAATCAGTGGGAAGAGGACATGAGCAAGGGCATAGCTATCTAGGAAAGCCTACAGGAGCAAATTGGGACCCCAAGTAGGACAGGATGTGGCCCATGCAACTGAGGTTCTGCACACCAAGTATAATGAGGGAAAATTCTCTCATTGATGGGGATGGGGGGCCGAACCATAAGTATATTGATACTGAAGAAATCTGTAGTTGGACTTAAATGAGTAGACATTTGTAATATGACCCATGAATCCTATCATAAGGTGGTTTTTCAACTGCTTCCATTTCCCATAATTTTACAAAAATTTAGTCATAGAAGAAAATACACACGCACATAAACCTACTGACCCAGAATGTGTACTTATCCAATAAACTAAACTGTTAAAAGGCACATACATTTGTTGGTGGGTTCCAGATTTTGGGGAGATTTGCACATTTTTAGGAATGTACATTTGTGTGTGAATCTGAGCAAATGTGCATGAACTCATTTATATAATAACTGATTCTGACAAAAAGCTGATCATGGGCTGAAGGCTCCTGATAATCTGGAAAATATACATGGGGTACAGTTTTACAATATCTGTACATACCCAGTTGATGTTGACCCAGACCCAGCAAGGCCTGGCATGACCCTCTGCATTCTACAAAACATGACGGGAACATAAAAAAGGACCCTTTTTTTTCAATGGGTCACATCTTTTATATCTAATCTGAACCTTTTATTCACACCTGAATTAATATGCTATTGGAGTTCTTTAAAAATACTGTGTTGAAGAAAATAGATTGAGAAGGAAACACAGAAACTTACTTTGGGGTTTTATTTCATGAAGAGGCTTTCTATCTAAAAAGAGGAAGAGGGGGGAGAGAGGGGGAGAGAAGAGATGGGGGAAAAGAGAAAGAAAAAGAAAGAAAGTTGCACTTAATAAATGTACAAGGAATGTATCTTTTTTCCTAGATCACTTTCTGTCAGGCTCTCTACCTGATACACTTTCTTCTTGGCTGATAACAATAACCATTTTTAATATAACATCTGCTCCAGTTTGCTTTACGCAAATATATCCCACTTTTTCCATACTGATATATAATGTTTGGGTTATATTGGTTGTTTTCTTTGTATATTTCTTTGTTTGAAGAGAGAGGTGGCATTTACCGATTTCAAATTTCTACTTAATTGCATGCCTATGCACCTGGCATTCTAAATAAATAGATAACCTGTTATAAAGGTCATAGATTTTATGTTTAAGTGAGGACAATTGCAACTGCAGTCGATGATTTGTGTGACACTGAATCAAACAGGATGTGGATGCTAATCTTATCTCAAGTGTGTGTGTAAGAATGCAAAAAAAAAAAATAGAATAGAAAGGATATAATTCAGAATTGCACTGTAGCCTAGAAACTCTTTTTTGGTGGGGGAAAGGCGGGGGGAGAAGAAACTGAACAATTGGAACTTTTTGCTGAATAGCTCCTTTTCAGATACAGTTAATTCCAATTCACATGATACAATAGAAACCAAGACAGAATCCAACAACAAGGAAGCATGGGCTGCACATCAACAGTTATTTCTGAAAACTAATCCAAATGACATTACGCTCAGATCTCACCATGCCCAATGGCCCCTATCTATCTTGCATAGCTTGAAAGTGGGACAAAAATATGAACTAAGGGTGAATATTTATTGTGGCTGGTGTAAACCATTTTAATTGGCCCAGACAGGTATCTGCTTCAATATGTATCTTGCAACTCCATTCCTAGTGTGAAGCAGTCCATACCCCTAATTCCCTAACATGAGGTTAGGGAAGCCCAAGCCTGGAGTCTCCTCTAAAGTGAAAGGGAAAATATCAGCTAGAAAGACATTGAAATAGATACATGTCTTTGCCACTATTTTAAAGCAATTCATGTCCAGAAAGAGCAATAGCTGCCACTGAAACAGCTACCCTGAGCTCACTTCCTCATTAATCCACTGCGCATTTTAGACATGGCTCAGTCCCTCCACATTTGGATTGGTTCCTTGGCTGATGTTCATGGATGAGAAGCCCTAAACATTGGAGGTTTCTAGCAAACGCTGCCAGAGGAACATGCACACATTCCCCTCCTATTGATTAAAGCACTTCCACATGAATTCTTAAAAGTATGCACTTTCTCATGCTCATTTTTTAAAATCCCATTTTAGGTGTTTGTAACTCACACAGCAAACACAGAAAGGTTCAAACTTCAACACATATTGCACTGTGTTTAGTCTGCAAGATGTGAACTGAGTAGATCCCAATTTAAAAATGAACAGAAATGAATTTCTCATGCGTCACTATGAACCGACCACCGCTGAATAAATGCTCAGTGCATGTGGCATGTGGCAGGCATGGACAGAAGGCAGCCTAGGAGCCATGGGCTGATCTCCTGACAAGGCTTGCTCTCTCCCAATAACAATGTTCTATAGCTGCCTCTGCTAGCCGTGTGTGGATTTCCTTTTGCCCTGTGTGCCTCTCCTGCAAAATAGGACTATTAACTGGTAAGAACCGATGCATCTGTACAGACCCAAATTCAGATTTGTAGATTCAGTGACTAGTTCATGGGATACAATAGGTAACTGATTCCACTATCCACCTCAATATTTTACACCTGGTGGACTAATAAGTAGTCCAGTCTGCCTGTACTGTGCCTTTCTGGAAAACACCCACACACAGAGAGTAGATCCCAAGAGCCTGAAATCTGCTCAACCCTCATATCCATTTCTCCAGTTCCTATAGAGAGGCACAGTGCCTTTCGGCATTCTCCAGCTAGCCACTCCAGCTGGGCAGTTCTGGGAGATGAAGGACTTCTTTTGGTCCAAATGTGCATTAGACTTCACCCTAGGCCTTTTCCCTTCCAAAACGGCATACATATATGAATAACCTTCCCTTGACTGGGATACTTATGAATGCACAAGTTCTTCTAGTCAGTCAAAATGGCCCTTCTACAAGTTAAAAGTCTAGAAGCGCTTTATTCCAAGTTGTGTCACTTATGCAATACCGATAATGGGTAGGTCTAACAAATGAAAATTAACATAAAACTGGAAAGGCGTCACTTGCACCATAATTAATCTATTTTACTTTACTCAGTTTCTCATTTTTCCAACTGTATATTCTTGTCATTTTTGTATTAGTATGCAATTTTAAAGACCTAACCAAAAAATATTAAGACTTTCTGTGCCCATATGTCCTCATAGATGAATTTTGTGATTATTCATAAATGTGTGCTATGTTGATGATAATACATATTTTTGTGCTCATTTCCCCCTAGTGTTCACAATTCGTACACAAATTTTGAATTTCATTGCAAAATTGGGAATACGGCAAAAGTTGTGCTTCAGTTTGAACACTCATTTGGTAAGAGTGAATTGGTAGATGTATATTGAAATGTAAATCAAACGAATTTCTCCTTCTTACCTCTACTCATTGTACCACTTCTTAAATGTCCCCGTACATGAACGGAATACATGAACGGGAAGGTGGGACCATCCACCTCCTCTAAGTTCGGCCTGCGCACTGGCTCTCTTTGACATCTTTGAATTTCTCTCCCATTCCTACCCCAGAGCAAAGGACGCCTGTGTCAAAAAGGGCTGGGAATGTGTATTCAAAGGTTCAGCCACCCCATCTTAACACAGAAGGGGGGAAAAGGGGAAACCTTACATATGGTGGGAAAGGTGTATAGAGGACATTGTAGTTACTTCCACATTTTTGTTTTGTTTTGTCTGTTGTGTGTAATCAAGCCCTCCCAAATGTCCTATCCATTACATCCCTGGTTAGTTGTTCTAAATCCAAGGCTGCAGTTTCCTTTATGGAATCAGTCCTAATTGGCCTTCCTTGTCTTCTGCCTTTGACTTTCCCTAGCATGGTTGTCTCCTTCCATGAGTCTTGCCTTCTCATAACTTGCAGTATAGTTACTGCACAGAAGTTCACCACAATCACAGAAACAATTGCTGCTTGCACTTACACATCTCTTCCCAATTCATCTTGCTGCTTGTACAGATGCTTCTTTGCTACTCATAACCTGCCACTCAAATGTGGAAATTAGCCAAAGAATCATGCATAATGTATTACAGATAATTAGCTGGTAGACTCTTGAGGGGAGAACTATGCACTACAAGCAAACCCCAGCTGCTGTTCCTCCTTGCCCACCAAACAGAAAAGTAGGTTCAGGAGGCGGCAGCTTTCAGCAGAGAATCAGCAGGTGGGTGTCTGGTGGTTGTGGGGGTGATTTTAAAATGTTTATTTTTATTAAACTATCTGGAAAGAACATACAATTATAAATATGGAGCATTCACACATCTTACAGCAGCACATTGTCACAATATTTTAAACTGAGAACAGAACAAATAATTTAAACCATGGCAACTTAATAATAGCGGGATTTGTAAATGTAGTTCCTTTCCCTTGTCAAATATATTATAAAGACATTGCAGTTCTGGACAAATTGACTAGAATGCTGAGTATCTGTTTTCACCCTTATATCAAGTTGGCACTTTTTATTGTCCTGTGAGATGCTGGAAACTAACAATGAATTTCAATATTTTGCACAACAAATTCTAATGTATATTCACAGTTCCTTTCCATTTAGCCTTGCTTCTTTTCCTTCTTCTGTGGTTCATTCTGGTTTTTAGTTTGGCTGCTTTTTTTAGATTGTAAGCCCCTTGTGGTGGAGCTTTACAAGACCTGTTCATTTTAAACACCATGTATGTTAATCACACTATAAATGCAGAAGAGTGATTGTAATCATGTAATAAATCAAATATGAGAAAATCAGATGGTATGAGTTTGGTAAAAGTCTGCACATGTACTTCTGGAGCCATTAACAACTTACCATACACTGCACAACCCTAAGCATTTTTATGAAGGAGATCCTATGTAAATCAACAGGGTTTTTGTCAAAGTGTAGTTCATGAGGATTGTGGCCCTCTCCCTTTACCTGCCCCAACACACATACACTATTCCAATAATGTAATTCCAGATGCTTCTTGGATATAATGCATACCTCTCTCGGGTGGAAGTAGTTGCTTCTACTCGTTCACATTCCCAGAATAATGTGAAGCAGATTCTTTGTAGGTTAATATACAATAAATCCATTGCATGCTTCCAGAAACATATCCTTCCGTTTGCCCATTCTCCAAGTTTAGCCCCTAACCAGTCTTGTGCTTACTCACTTGCTCCTCATGTTGAAAATCTAACCATTTCTGCCCTGACATGCCCATGAAATAACAACATGCAAGTCAAGGAGGTGATGATGGGGGAAATGGGAGGGGAGGGAAGGGGAGGGGAAAGGGGGGGAGAGAGATACTATTAAAACCTATAAAAGAGAATCCTAGAATTCTGTTTTTATTGTTGTTTTCAGGTTTCATGCCAACTCACCCCTTACATTTAGGATTAACCTATACTAGGGATTTTTATTGGCAGTGTAATGTCCTCTTCACAGGTGTATCACATGGTGCTCACCTGAAACTGCCCTCCTTGTGGTATTATATCCTGGATTTCTCCTGACCAGCTTTTTCTCAACTTTTCATCCCCCTGTCCCCTCACCCAGGATACATACGAATATGTTAGGAGAGATCCCAGTGGGCTGGTGGGTGTTTTTTTATTATTATTATTATTATTATTATAGCAAAGCAGCAACAACTTGGAGATGCTTTAGTTGTTTCAGATGCTTTAGTTGCCTCCTTTGCCTTCCCTGCATGCAGGGCTTCTCTCTTTCTGACTTGCAGTGATGCTTTTAACAGCCCCCCCCACTGCCATTTTAAAAAGTAAATATAAAAAGTGATTACTACACACCAGCTCCTGCTCACCCAAAATGCTACTTCACATTACTTCATAG